ACAATGGAATTTGGCCAAATATAGGTTTCCACATTTAGAGAATTCAATATTTTCCTTTAGGAAATAGATTTTATTTCTGTTGCTGGGGAAAAAAGCTTATTTAGAATTTGATGATTTTCACCTGTTCTTCGTGCATTTTGACTGTAACATACACCGGTATTTTCATTGTACGAGAATTAATCATCCGAAACGCAGAATGGAAGCTATGGGTACATCAACGGGCCTTTCCCTGTGTCTAAGTACTTCCTGCTGGTATCTTCCTGGGTCTTTCCGTGCTACCGCTAGCTCGCCTACACGAGGACCATATGGAATTAGTCAAGACCTAGTATTCCGGAAGAATGAATGATACATTGTGTGGCTTGTTCTAGTATGATATATTGCCTTCTCTGTCTAAAATACCTCTGTAAATGATATTTTTTATTTCTTATTTTCCCAGACTAAAATTGATCACCATCATGATCGTGAATAAAGAATCTTCTTTTCATCCAGCTTGCAGGACAAGGCAACATAGCATATTCTTAGCATAAAGTTTTCCAAGCATGGTAACAATCAACGCATTTGCTCTAAAGCGATTTACAAAGCGAAGATTATGATGGATCAATGTTTGTCCGTCGGAGCTTCCTGAATTGAAAGGGATAAACTTTTAGTTAGATTTCTTTTTTTCAATATGATTGTCCTCGTCAGAGTCTTCGTCTTCGCTCCGGCTGTCATGCAGATTTTTCTGAAAAAAAAAATCGGGAAAAAGAAAACCACTTACGATCCAATGCATTCAGGAGAAATGATGAAAAAAAAACTTCAACAGACGATAGAGACCTTATGGAAGAACATGCTGTAAATGATTCGAAGAATTACGTAAGTCCAGTAGAGATGCAGAAGGAACAGGGACCAGAGAAGCACGACAAGGACGATGTTGATGAAGTAGAAGATATCCAAGTAGAGGAGGGCTTTTGTGGCCCTGTCGTGGGGGAGAGTCAGTCATTAAGAGTGCCCTGATTTCATGCAGGCGGAAGGGTGGAGAACTCACGAGATGTTGACATAGAGGGGGAAGTAGATGACTCTGGTGAGGATCCAAGTTGCCGAGAAGATCATAAATAATTTCCGGGCAGTGGGGTCTGGGTCTGGTGCTTTGAAGTATTTCAACAGCTTGCAACACTGAGGACAGGCAGAAGATGATTCCCACTTATTTACGAAGAATGACTGCGCTCCGTCTGCAATATGCTACATAAGTCAGGGGACTGGATTACATTGTAAAGACAAGAAATATAAATAGGAAAAGTACCATATGACTGGTTTCCATACAAATATATCTATTCAGGAAATTCTAGCGTGTAATCATTGCTGGAATTGTTAAGGAAAAATAGCATGTTGGTGTATTGAATGAACGATTGCCAGACCTGGAGGGGGACATCGGCACAGTCATGGACCAAGAGTACGATGGAGCCGACTTCGGTATTGCCGCTGATCCAGGATCCCATCATAAGGCCGATGGTGACCACGTGGTGGGCCAGTTGTGCGAGGAAGTCGTTTTTCTTCACGTCGAAAGGTAGCATCAGTGACTGGCTTATGTGGAATCCAAACTCTAGCATGTAATACCACCACACGTCCCACGACACTGGCTATATAGGAAAAGATGGAATTAATAATTAATATTATTCTTAATATATAAACTATTTCATTCATACTTGAAAACATCATGGCAATGACAATATTTTCTATTACCAAGTTGCTTATTAACATCATTTCTTTTGAAGCAAGCGACCGAAAACTACACGGGGCTACATTCAGTGAATCTAGAAATGAAGACTATGAGTAAGAGTTGCATGGGAAGACATAAGGCATCCAAAAGAATGGTATGTGAAGTAACTCTCAAATGCACCTTACACGTGATTGTAATTTGTGTTAGATATTTTGATTGTAAATCATGTACAGAAAAAAATAATGTATCTCTCCAGGAGATAGCCCCCTGGAATTTTTTGTTTATGCCATTTGCTTCATAACAGTTGTAAGATCGGTTTTACTCTAGGAAGGAAATACAACAGAAACCTCCAAAAATAGGCCCCCGAGTCATAGCCAAAATGTGGTTACTTCTGATTTCTTTGCGGGGTCGAATTGCCAGTCACAATATTGCATGGAAAATATGATTCTTTTTTAAATTTTGGTCGGGTGATTCCACGATGAGAAGGTAATTTGGAACTAATTTTGCTGACCATTTTCAGTTGAGAAGGATTAGAATCACATCTTGTGATAGAAGCTTTAAATGACAGTATAGGTATTTCTTAGCTAATTGATAGGTACGAAGCAATGTAAAAGAAAAAAAGAAGAAGAAATAAAACCTTTGATTTAATTGTCAAGTCTAAAAGCGGAAATACATTTTCTCGACTTTCTAGGAAATTACTTTCTATCAACCGTAGCGTCACAGGCAGAAGGACTACTCTCCTTTTTTCCAAATATATCCCCGATTGACTTCAAATACCTGAAGTCACTCTCCATTCCAAGCATGATTCAATATATTTTGTCCCATACTATCACATGACTACAGACACGTACGTTCGGGAGATTCACGAAGCACAAATCCGTGTTCCTGAGGAAGGGCTTGTCTACCATCGTCCATACTCCGAATAGAAAGACGAAGCTGTGCGCGACTGATCTATAACTGCAGGATAAAATTTCACTGGTCTCAATAAGCACCAATTACGCAAATAATAGAAGCGTTATGGATGTATTATTCATTCCGTTTCTCAATAAGAATGGACCAACCGTAATGGATGTCATAGCAATACCATGAATTGTATTCGTATCATTGACAGGAAACGCCATGGGCTGCAAGTCATTACAGATTTCTCATTATGTAAAAGTCTTTTGAAAAGCATAATTTAAGACATGCTGGGTTTTCCTGATACCATAGTAGTTTGTGAAAACTCTTAAGAGTACAGTCGAGTTTATAACTCAAAATGAGTCTTATTTTCACATAGTTCTACAAGTCATTAATTTTGAAACATGTCCTCACCAGTCATTATGAAAAGGTCATAGCGACATGAAGATTGACTGATTGCTTTGTGTGTCGGGTTAATTCATCCTTTAGAGTAGGATAAAAGTAAATTTTTTTAAATACATCAATTTGCTGGAGAAAGGAGACTTCAATTCTGCTTGACTCACCCGGTCTCCCTAATTTTTCTGAGTTCAAGTCGTGCCTTCTCATTCCTTAGGCTGCCGTTTTCCCTCTGGATCCATTTTCTGCCTGCGTTTAGAGTTCCATTACCCTGCGGCACCAAGAAATAATTGCACGAATAAATCACTGCCCAAAACCCGTGGAGAAGACCAATGGAGATATGAAAAAATTGCGTTAACAAATTGCTTTTTAGCGCGTTTAAAAATAATGTTTCCTTCTTGGTATTCACCTTCTAAACGCTCAGGGTCAACAGCGAACGAAATAGGTCAGCTTTGATCGCGAAGCTATTGAAGGACGGTGATACTGTGAAATTTCATGACTGCCCTAGGAAATCGGTTTTTTGCTGTTTCTTGTAAAAGAAATGTTTCCTTTTTGTTATTCAAAATGGCTCCGATATTTACATACTCATACTAGGGAATATCCAGGTCTTTAGGTATCAAACCAGTCCTAATCCAGACTCGTTTGAGCTAATGAGTGGCCAATGCTTCAATAAAATGATCTTTCTGAAGATATTTAATGTTTTATCTTCATATCAGTGATCTCTGCATTATCATTCCCTGGCACCAAGTGCATGCACGGGAATTGTATACCTTCCTTGCGTCTCGCCATGAATTCATTGCCTTTACCCACCCTATATTGCCAGCAGGGGTCGAGGGTCTTGACTCTTTGAACCTTTGCTCTCGCCAGGGGCTCCATGATGAGCCTGCATGAGTTATGAACAGAGGACGCTAAAGAGACAGAATCGAGAGGACAAAAGGCAATAGTCAAGGAATAGGCAACGCACGTGTCGAAGATAATCCGAAAGAGGAGGAAGGAGATGGAGATCGGAAAGGCATAGAGCAGATCATGGAATTCCGGCATGGGTCTTCCCGGCTTGGACTTCATGTCTTCCCATGTCACATTTCTTGGTAACCAGAATTTCTCATTCCAAATGTTTCTTCTGAGCGTCTCTAATTTTTCCATCGGATCCCTGATTGTCTTCCCCTGTATTTCAATTAAAAAAACTCTAGAGGCCTTTCTTGGCTCGGGAACAGCACAAACGATACTTTTTTGAGGAGACTTGCCGGTTGAGCTGCTTGATTTGAAATATGTCTAAAGAACAGTTGCCTGGTCCGTAGACGACTACAGGACAGCTTTGAAAACGGAATTATTAGTTCTCTCTTTGTCGAAGTTACGAATTGATATTTCAATCTGGAGTAGGGTAAGCCGAAATGTTACTAAACGAGGGTGCAACAAAGGACACCAGCCGGAAAGAAGTGACTGCCACAAAAATGACCTTCCTCTCATGCATGACTGTTAGCATTCTTGCAATAACCAGCAAAATTTAGAGAGCAGATAAATTTTTCCACCAACTCAATAGCATATAATAATGTTTTCTTCTCACAGACACAAGATACTCCAACGAACCGATTTCCCTAATTTTGCCAAATAAATACATTTAGCAATTGAAGATGACAGTTCATCACAAAAACGGACGTCATGGTTCTCATTGAATAGACATCGACTGGGAAAATTAAAATGTACATTGACTCGATTAAAGCGATACCGGAAGTGAAGAGTTACAGGTAAAATAATGAAATAAATCAACTACACCCCTGCTCTCTTGCATTAAATAAACTCAGTTTTCAGGAGAGAAGAGCGTTGGAGAATGAAACACCCTTTTCGCAAGTAATTTCCGAAGAGTAAGCAAAGTTATACTCATTCCCATGGAGATAACCTTTCTCCAAAAGACTCAGTCAGTCGTATTTCCGTCTTTTGGACCTATGATCTCAGCCAATACTTGGCACCATAATGAATCCTATTGTAGCGAAATATTGTGCTTGATTGGATCAAAATGAAACAAAGAAAGCGCGTATAACGAGAGTCACCTGTATATGTATATTTTAAAAAAACTTTGCCACTTCGAAAATGAATTAATGAATCAATCCCTCTCCAAATTAATGATGCGCTGAGGGCGCGACTATAGCGAGTTTGTTTGCCCTTCGGTCAAGTTTGCAAAATATTCTCGCTCATGGAGCGCTGAAGGGGCGACTATAGCGATTTCTTTGTTCTAAGGGCCAGCAAAGTCACTAGAATTTATAGTTGATCTAAAAGCATTTCCAAGTTGAATTTATTATTAGAAAGTTACAAATGAATTAAATTGGCAAAAAAGCGATATTGACTATTTTCTTTGAAACGATGATAAAATGTCAAATTTTCTGAAGAAAATATCAGCAAATATATGCCACCGGGTACTAAACCAGCCATAAAATCAATTCACCTCGGTCGAGCGATGAAAAGCGATATTGACTATTTTCTTTGAAACGATGATAAAATGTCAAATTTTCTGAAGAAAATATCAGCAAATATATGCCACCGGGTACTAAACCAGCAATAAAATCAATTCACCTCGGTCGAGCGATGCAAAAGTTAACAGACGAGACTCTGAACAGGAACTATACAAATATCTGAATCTTTTTCCCTTTTAGTGAAGCTATAAAGGATTGTCATGGTGATCCTCAGCTTTCGTCGTGCCGTCTTGCAGCAATGCCGGTTCGGGCCATTGAACAATTTTGGTAACAAGTCAGTTTGGAATGCAGCTGACCTGATTTCCATGGGTTCATCAATTTTCAACAGCTCAAGCTTACGGATTTCACTCTATTTATGAATTTCTGGAATGATTCCATGTTTATCGTTTTCTTTAACAAGTTTTTAGTCGAAATTTGTTTAATTTCTATTAATATAGTTCAAAATTACAATACGGTCTCATGAAGTAATGCTTTAAATTTCTTCTTTTCCACAGGGAGATGTTTTGAATCTTTTTGATTAATATAAACCCAATTTTCATTTGTAAGTAGCATCATAGGATGGGCAAGAGGAATTCGACGTTTCATCATTCAGATTGTCAGCATTTGTAATTAATGACTTCGTAATTAAGAATAAAATTTTACTACTTTTTCCGGAGAACGCGACTTTTTTCCGGATGAATTTGATGACAAATGATAGGATAGAAAAGGCAAGAACGAAGGCCCTGCAGGGAAATTTCATTTCTATATTTTCCACCAATTTTCAGATACGTTAATGCCAATTTTTAAGATTAAGAATTTATTTTTAAATTTTCGAAATTTGGCGTGTTCTAAAATGAGGCAAAGCATAATCTAAATTTTTCTCAGACTGTGGAATACATATGGGCCGTGCCAATCACCGGAACATTTAAAATGTTCCTTTCGGCGATAAGTTTGCAAAGCTGCCCCCGAAGCTTTCGTAACCTTCGGGTTAATCTAAAGCTTTAAGAAAGAAAAAGGTTCATCCACCACTGAACGTTTCACTCCGTAACGATGAGTCGGATGACTTCCAGCGATGATGTGTCGTGTCTGTCTGAACGCATTACTTCTGTAGGATTTAACCGGACCTTGAAGTGATGGATCTCGCAAAAAAAAGCTGCGACTCACCACCTTGATTCCTCTTCGTCTTCCCCAACGTCAGACTTCTCGTCGGAACATGAAAAATTCCTAAGTTCCGCCTGGCGATGGGCATCGACATATTAAAAAATGGAGCCCGTAAAATTCCTCGGCCCAGGTTTGTTCACCGCTAGAGCCGACCCGTGCCGGACGATGCAGAGTACCATATTGGGTCACCACTCAGCCTTCCTACGGATCAACGCGCGATTTCAACCTGCAATTATCTCCGAGATAATTGCAGGTGACCAGGCATTCTCATGTCAAACTTTAAATGTCACACTTCAATTATCCCATTGCCATCGGAGTGTCTTCATAGCATTGGCTAAGTAGCAACATAATCCCCTATGCCTGATCTGATCTCACTTGACCTGTTTCCCACGTTTTAATGTGCATTCCTGGAAACAATCCTACTTTCATTGATCCGGTTTTGAAACATTCAAGAATTTTGCGAATTTCCTTCATGTCTATGTTTTATTATGTTGTTAATCATTATTACTCTAGTAGCACATAACATTAAATCAAGGTTTATTCAATGTTATGTACTACTAGGGTATATTTCTATATCAAGCGCGCATTTGTGCGAAATAGCAGGTATGGGCTTTTTCTGTGGACGCATTTCGTATATTCGATCGAGAATATGGAATTCGAGATTACATCCATTCGAGATCCCGTCTATTCGAGATTCGGTCTTTCGAGATTCTGGGTTTCGAGATTCTCTCCGCATACCACTGGAAACAGCCGCTCAGGTCACCAACAAGCTCAGGGACGAAGAGGGAGTCGACGGTGAAGACCAGTGAAGACCAGTCGCCAAGCCCTCCTCGAAACTGGTTTAAGTGTAACAGAGAAGAAAGAAAAGCCAAGACTCTTATCCAGCAAATATCAAGGCTGGCCTGGAGTTCGTCAGAAGCCACATGGATTGAACTATTGATAACTGGTCGAGTCACATGAGTAATTTGGTCGGATGAGACGAAGATAAACCCTTTTGGCTCAGATGGACGAGCCTGGTATTGGTAATATGAGGGGGGACGTTGGGGGACATATCAAGCAGACTGTCAAGCACGGAGGCTGCTTGATCTTGATCTGGGACTACATGACGATCAAGGGAACCGGTCACATATGCTGAGAGTTTCGTCCCTTAGTGTATATTAATATTTACATTTTGAGAAGTCCATGTTATTGCCCAAATGGGAATTTAATTTCTGGAGGTTGCTTGGTACAACATAAGATAATTTACCTTAAAAAGTACTTTAATGAAATTGGGATGTTTTAAAGCACATCAGTGATTCACCCGTCAATTGCATCATGCAGTTTCATACAGTGATTGAGTTCGGTGGACCCGTCGGTGCTTAAACCGTTGTAGATTCCCAAGCTTACAACATTTCCATTATTTCATTTAAAAATATTGCATAGATTCTAAAGGGTTTGCCATGAATCTTATTTTGATTTCTTTTCGTCGACGTCATCTTCGTCGAATTACAAGTCTCCCCTCCGGTTGTGGTGTAGTTTTCTCTTTAATAAATGAAGAAGAAGCCAAGAAAACCAACCATGAATGTGTTAGGCGGGAGACTTGCTAGAGCTTCCAAGAAATGAAGATTTTCAGCAGACATTATTGATGGCAATGTTGTAAACCAATCAATTGAGTAATATAGTCCAGTAGAGATGAAGAACGAATAGGATCCAAAGCAGTACGACGAGGGCCTTGAAGATGAAGCAGCCACCAAGTCGGTCTGGATCCAGGACAGCTTCGGTGGTCCTATGGGCGATGGATGCGAGGGTTCATAAGGACCATATTAGAGAGGCTTACCGTCAAGGGTGAGGAATACTCGCGGGATGTTGATGAAGACTGGGAAATAGATGACTCTGGTTAGGATCCAAGTTGCTGAGAAGATCACGAAGACCTTTCTGACGATGTCGTTCGAATCAGGTTTCTTGAAATATTTCAGTAGTTTCCCGCACTGGAAATTATGTTCAGGTGTAAGGTGAACCACACACTGCGGACAAAAGTTGCATTTCTTGCAGTATATTTTACACTGGACATGTATATTTCTCTGTTATAAGGAATTGAATATTGAAGTAGACATGGATGTACAGTAAAAAGATCGTTACAAGAACATTTCGCTAGATCACCAGAAACATTTCAAGACCGTTAGACCTGAAGTATGAGATCAGCGCACTCGTGGACGATAAGCAAGATGGATTTGATCCTGGTGGCATTGCTGATCCTGGATCCCACCATGAGACCGATGGTGACCACATGGTGGGTCGTCTGCGCCAGGTAGTCACTCCTCTTCACGTCGAACGCCAACGTGACCAACTGGGTCACGTAGAATGCCAGCAGCAGTATGTAATACCACCAGACATCCCACGGCGCCCCCTGCACAGGAATGAAAGGACTTTGGCATGGAACTATTAAAACTCTCACCGAATTGTCTGTGATCCTCCTTCCAACTATCTCCTTCCTGCTTGCTTCCCTTTTATATTTTAATATTTAGTCTCTCATCCTGTTCTATCATGAGGCGACCTCCATTTGTGCATTTCTTCTTTAATTTATTCATTTCATTCTTTCGCCTTAATACTTCGTTTAATAGTTACTATTTCTTATATCTCATATATTTACTCGTATGATATGCATCGTATCTCGTATTATATATCTAATATGTATAGACGTTCGTGACAGACAGCTAATTCTAACCATGTTCCAGAAGGGTTAGAAATCTGAAACTTGGTTCACATGTACTGTTTGGGATGCAGAGTTCAGAAAAAATCCGACTTTGGAGGTACATGCCCTGGGGGTACAAATTTTGGGGTGAAACGTTTTTCTTAAATATATTTTGTTACAGATGAGGATGGCATTCAGGAAAAAAAAACTGGTTGTGCTGGTTTCAGTGGTGCAGTAGTAGCATCTCTCTCTGTTACTCAAAAGGTTCGGGTTCAATTCCCGACCATTCCTAGGCTTATTTTGACTTCCAACTTCGGTTACTCATTCCCCCTCTATAACTTTATTATTGCTTCAGTAAAGCGGAGAGACATGGACAGCTGAA